ACCAACTGAAATGGCCTAAATTGCTTATGTAATTAAACCCAACAATTACTTTGCATTGAGAAAGCAGGGTGATTTCATTTTAAATAGTAAATAGGCTTAAAATGACCACTGGGGTTTGAAAGGGCTCTAGCTGATAAAAGTAACTGGAAGTTACAGCCTAATTTTGTTCCCCATAATCTTATCAAAAACAATGTTTAAGTGGACATTTTTAAGGAAAGTAATTATAGAGAAAGAAGAAAAAAATTGAGGATAGACAGCAATTATCCTACATTAAAAAAAAAGAAAAAATAATACCCTGCATAGTTAATGCATCTGTGATGAAATCACAATATTCTTTTTTGTGAAGATGAAGAGGTTTTTGTTACATATCTTCTATAATAATTAAAGCACAATATGCTAATTAGACTGGACGGCTGAACAACCTTCCAGACAGCCTTCCGGATGAAGCTGGGGCTGCAAGGGCTGAGGCAAGCCACGGCTGCAAGGGCCGAGCCCCTTGCACTAATTTCGTGCATCGGGCCTCTAGCAGATATATAATAAAAATATATCTATGAAATATATACATATACATTTCACTGACTTTTAAAAAAGGTAAGGAAAAGTTATATTGACACAGTACAAAACATGCCAGTTTCAGTAATACAGAAGCCTAAATAGGAAAAGCACTTGAATTTAAGTCAGAAAGCTATACTGGTTCTAATACAAACTGTGTAATTCTGAACATACACTTTGAGTGTTTATTTTTATCTTGCAAAATAAAAGTGATTATGTTAAGAGGATTTTAAGATATGAGTCTTCCAATGTCAATATTCTCTGATTCTAAAATACACCTATACTTTGAGATAAAAGAGAAATGGAGATTCAATAAAGACCTGTACTGGATGTTAAAATAAAAATAATTTTAACTAAGTCTAGGGGGAAAATATGCCATGATAAGAAAAACAGAAGAAACTCTAACCTAAACATGACAATTTTAATTTAGAGGGGGTACTCTATTAATGAATTTGTTAACTGGGCATTAGCTGAGTAAGCTGTTTCACTTTTGGTTAACATAGTTACTGATCAAAGAAGGATTTTGACTATGGTTGCTAAGGGACAAGGGAAAATGAACTTCTAGAGAAAATACAGCAGTTCTAGGACAGAACTAAATAGAATCCCTGTTGAATCAGCAGTGACTGTAAGGCCATTACTATGACAAAATCTTATCTGTAGAGAAATAATACTTACATTGGTAAATAGAAAAATAACTGATAGAGAATACAGTCATTGGCATTTGGAGCTTAAAGATCCACAGAAATGGCAATGATCACAGTGGAGGTAATCTAAATAAACACTTCCTAGGTTGGGCATTTGATCCAATAACTTTACTTTCATTATCCCAATTAATCCTCAAGCTGACACTACTATTACAGCCATCTAACGGAGGGGAGAGATGAGGCTTCACTTAAGTAATTTGCTCAGCTAGTAAGTGTCAAAGCCATCATTTGAACCTGGGCTATCTGACTTCACCCTATACTGAATCTCCATTTAGCTGTTATTTTGTGATTTGATCTCTAAATATTTTATGTATTCTCATACCTTGCTACTGTAATTACAACCACCATTTAGGTGAAAGTTTAATTTTTGTTTATAATATTTAGCATCTGCTTTCCATTATTTTTATGTTTGTAATTTACATAATTTTGAATGGGATGATACTTCTCAATTGTTGTTATTCAATCACCTAGGATTTATGAAATCAAACAGAATAATGAGAATATATTTTTAAATAGTTTTTAAAAATTTACTTATGAACTGCCAGAGTAAAGATTAACAATCTTAGAATAAAATATACCAAAAAAATTAAATTGGGAAGTAAATCAAACGTGTTTTTCCATTAATACACGATTGGGAAAATATACTTGCTCATTTGGTATTCCGAATAAGTCAATTATCAGCATATGGAATAGAGAGTGATAAAAGTTTTTCATAAAATGTTCAAGGGAAGGGGAAGTGCAAAGAACTAGTGTGTTTTTGTGTAGATTTTTTTTTAAAGAGCAACTGCAGTGAATTGAGTTATGAAACTAATAATAACATTCAAATGTGACTGTATTTTTTCACAAATATTCCTTTATTTCTCCTAACCTTCAAATAAAAGAAAAAGTAGGATGGAAAATAATTTTTGTATACATATACACAAGTGTTTGCAGAAAGTGGTCATTAAGGGGGAAATGAATGAGCCATGAGAAAAATGAATACTTACAGGTTAAATCTAGCCAGACATTATAATCCATCACTGATCCCTGAAGGGCACTAATAATATGTAAATGTGAGAATTAGAAAACACATTCAAGGCTGTTGATAAACTTGATAGGATAATCAGCACATGCTGACAGAGTAATGAAACTGATGAACTGATAAGGCAGTTTATCTCCTGAGCCATTTTTTTTTCTTGTCAAATGGAGGCTAATCAAAATGTATTAAGAGTTAAAGCAAACACTCAGAGGATTTCACCCATTTGATTAGGAGGTGAACTCACTCTCTGAGAAAATTATAGTTTCGTAAACAGTTGAAACTACAAGCCTGGTCAGATAACAGACCTTCACACAAAACCGAACAGAACGCAACCACAATGATTAGGGGAGCAATCTGCAATTTTAAATTATATTGGGATTCTCCCCTTGAAAATGGTTAGAGTGCTTTTCAGAGTCTGGGCAAAGCTACTGCCTCTTTCTATAATGGAAAATAAGACAAAGGACTAAGCAATAACCCCAGGGACTAACTTATCTTCCACTGCCTGTGTGTGCTCAATATTTGCGTAACCATATGAGAGACAGATCCCAAGGTACCAGCTGAGTTTTCAATCAAATTATTAACATAAAATAATTGAATGAATTTTCTGAAATCACTAACTATAGTGAATGCCACACTTCCTATTAACAATCAAGATACCAAATGCAGTCTGTTGCCAAGGATGTCAGAGTTCCTTCCCAGTTTAAAGAAAGACATCTTATTTCATAATTGAGGGAAATTGGAAATAATGGCCTTCCCAAGCATTAGCAATAAGAATAAGATATAAACTAAAATCATTGTGCCTCTTTAGATAAAACTAGAAAAATGATCCTTTTAGTATTCACTTTGACAGAAATAACCATCCAGTATTAATATTTAAAAGTTAATTCTGATAAATCTAAACCCGCTAAGCACGCACTTCCTGGACATGTATATTTCATCTGAATAGATAGACTGATGGTAAAATGCTGGATAGTATAAGGCACTGTTTTAAATTATAGAAGTTTAAGGGCAAAAGTACATTTAATGAAGGTAAATTTTAGCTTTTAGTAATCATAGTAAATAGAAAAAGAAGCAACAACTAGAAATACCCCAATTTCCTTTTTAATGTGAGCATTAAATCATTCCACACTGCACAGGCAACTGGGGCAGGGGTCCCAGAGACATAGGATGAATATATTAACCTCTTCCAAATCATAATTTTTTTTCTGTTTATTGACCTGTGCCTCATTCTGTCTCTAAACTATTTCTTAAATTTCTGTCATTTAGAAAAAAGGGAAAGTGTGTGTCCTTGTCAGGCATGTGTGTGTGTGTATGTGTGT